AGGATGGATGTCCTGGGGAAGTAGAGACAGCCGGCATAATGCTGACAACATTAGCTACCTAGTGCCCATTGGTCTGTAAAAATATGGGGTGCTCTTCCGAATGCTCGATGTGCCTAAGGCTTGAAAAGGGTTTTTTAGTTTACATGTGTTTTTTTAACAGCCAACAATGAAACCCCAAGGGATCAGATAACTTGAGTGGTAATGCACCAGACTCTTTGAGTACCAACCAACAACTATCGAACTGTTTGTATCTTGAGAGATTTTAAAGTGGCCAGTGTTTGAGACTAAGAAGTTAGGATAACAAGACTATGGGACAGGAGTACAACTAACAGTAGCAAAGCAGGGAATTAATGTAAGAACTTTTTGCAGTGGTAGAGATTCCAGAAAGTGTGCTGCCTTTCCTATTCTGCTTTTTAGCCTGCAATGAAGCATAGGCCTTCAACCAACTCATGCCAAGTCGTTCTATACTCCGGTGTCATGTGCAGCTCTCCCCATGTCCCTCGCAATCTCTTTAAACTTCCCTTTCTAGCTCCATTCTCCATGTGTCTTTTTTGGTCTTCTTTCATTTCTATGCCCTTGTGGGTTTTACTGCAAGGACATTCTGGCAAGGTTGGTGGGAAAAGAGCAAGGAGAAGGCAATGAAATATATTCTTTGATTCTCTGGCAATATAGATGAGGCCAAACAAGAGCACTGACCTGATTCATGAGATGCTGAAACATGATTGACAGTTTTTATCAGCAGGGAAGAGGATAATGATGATGAGTACACTGGTGTGACCTGGTGTCTAAGGTCAGAAAGTATCTCAGTTATCACAAGAATGATCAAATAGTTTTCACTATTCATGAATACAAGTTTTATAGTCAAAAACTTGACAAAAAGAGAAGCAAACATACTAAATAAAATTTAATCAGTTATCTTCTGTCAGTTTGCAGTAGAAAATAATAGTAAATTATTTACTGTGGCAGACTACATATATAAATCATATACTCAAATTGTAACAAGCTCTGCTATACCTTATATGACTCTTTAATGGTTGTTTCTTTCCCTAACTTAATTTATTTTATTACTGTTAAATGCATAAAAAAAGTAGCGGGCCTTTTCCATGCCTTCAAGCATATTGGGCACATGGGCTAGACCTATATTAAAGATCAATCGGCACTTAGTGGATGATCTGGTCCACATCACACCAGCAAATTTGGACAAAATATCTGTATAAACAGATCAGTAAATTACATAGAACCTTTGTTGAAGTTGAGGCACATCTGTCATCTCAAATCACATCTTAAGTTTTACTTCTCTACGCCTCCAGGAAGGCCATCTGTAAACCAGAAAGGTGAAAACAGGCATGCTTCGTGCAGAGTGGCAAGCATCAATTCAGAGGTCCTGGGTAGTTAGCATACTTTGAATATTTTCTCCAGATCTTGTCAGTGTGATGGGAAATGAGCAGGCAGATAGACTGGCTGGCTCTGCACCACTTGGTGGTGAAATGATGTATGACAAGTTGGATTCTGTGAGGGCCCTTTTGGAGCGAGTGAACAGTGCTGAGGCGCAATTAGAGCATTACGGTCTAAGGAGAATGGCGCTGCGAAGAGTTACCAGGAGATCTGGCCGATGCTCAACACTTAGGGGAAGGATGAGACAGATATGCAATCAGAAGGTGATAGGTACCATTGGAATTGGAACTCTTTGCTTGCTTTTGAAGATGGGGACAGAGCACTTATGGGAGTGTCCCAGGTGCTGTGATGTCAGTTCTTAATTCAACATCTGTAAACCAGGTGACTTAAAAAGCCACTATCTGGTTGAGAATCCAACAGGAGGAAATCCCATAAATCCCTATTCAACCATATAACACAGTTACATAAGGGCACTCAATGTAAGGATGTAAATGTCACTGGAGGTTAGGATATGAATTCTCACAAGCTATATAGAGCCAGTTTTAACATACGGCTGTGAATCCTGGACTAATAATCAATTATTAAACAAGCTGCACAATATCTTGAGGCCTCAAAGATGTGGTTTTACAGAAGAATCCTTAGACAGCTAAAAAGAGTAGTGTAGATGTTTTGAAAGAGGTGACTGTTCGAAGACAACTTATCAAAACATCAGAAAAAGACCGCCATAATTTTTTAGTGATTTTATGAGACAAGAGAAAATGGAATATATTGTGACCACTGGAAAGATTTGTGGAAAAAGAGACAGAGGAAGACAGTATGATAAGATTCTTGACAGCCTTTTGTCATAGCAGGGAGTTGTCAACACAGGAACTGATACACGCAGTTACAAAAGAAGATTGTGGAGAAGCACGATCACCAGCACCAGTTGGCAAGGCACTTGTTGACGATGAACCTACAGTCCAGTGTTGGTGAAGTCTCATGGTACAGACAAAAGATGCTATGTTTTCAGTCTCAAGCAGCATACGATACAGTAAAGCTTTAATTAACTATCACTCGTTCAACTGTCAGTTCCTGTTATCCATCATCATCTAAACCCCCCCCCCCCCCCCCCCCCCCCCCCCCCCCCCCCCCCCCCCCCCCCCCCCCCCAAAAAAAAAAGAAAGAAAAAGGGTGTGAATATCAATAGACACTCTTAAATGTGTCCACAGATGACTTTTATACCTGTATGATGGTGAAAGTGACTGTACTGTATGATGGTGACTACTGTATGATGGTTGCAGTGACTGTACTGTATGATGGTGGAAGTGACTGTACTGTATGATGGTGACTACTGTATGATGGTGGCAGTGACTGTACTGTATGATGGTGGAAGTGACTGTACTGTATGATGGTGGAAGTGACTGTACTGTATGATAATGGAAGTGGCTGTACTGTAAGATGGTGGAAGTGACTGTACTGTATGATGGTGGAAGTGACTGTACTGTATAATGGTGAAAGTGACTGTACTGTATAACGGTGGAAGTGACTGTACTGTATGATGGTGGAAGTGACTGTACAATACGATGGTGACTACTGTATGACGGTGGAAGTGGCTGTACTGTATGTTGGTGGAAGTGACTGTTCTGTATGATGGTGGAAGTGACTACTGAATGATGATGGAAGTGACTGTACTGAATGACGACGGAAGTGACTGTAATGTATGATGGTGGAAGTGACTAATCATCAGTGGCAGAGGAGTTTACCTTGATCTGGCACGCAACAAACACATCACTAACCATTTACTATTGTGTTAAATACTGGTTTCAGTCATGTCAGAATAGACTGTTTGTTCGAATGAATGTTTTGTTCATAGTGCCCTGATTAACTGCTCTGGCATAACTCTTTGATAGTGCTACTGTTTGTATTTGTAAGCTGTATTTCAATATCACTGCTTATATGTAGGCCAAAATAAGTAAGAAAGTAATGCTTAACTCTTGGATTTTATTTTTCTGTAAAAAAATTTGTTTAATGGCTGAAAAGCAGAAACATGTAGTGTTAGCTTTCAACTAGAGACTTGAAATTATCAATTGTTTGAAGAAAGGTAAAACTGCCACTAGTATTGCTCAGATTTAGGATGTTGGAAGAACAACAGTCAATGGTATCAAACACTATGAATTGAACAGCATGTGTCAAAAATACAAAGCACCATAAACTGGCAACATTTGACCAGCTGGTTAATGTGATGTACCAATGGTTTTTTCGTTTCAGGGCTAGGGGAACCTACTTTCAGGTTCCATCATAATGGCCAAGGCATTGAATAAGAAACTAGAAGGAGGTCAACATTTGGAAGCAAAAATATAATGGCTTGATCAGTTTAAGTTTGGTCCCTGTATTCAACAACTAGACATAGGGTCGAAAAACTTGGTGCAAATAATGTAGTCATTGTTGATTTCAAAGAACAACTCAATTACAAATATCTAAGCTGAACCTCATTTGGGAAAAAATATAATGAACTGAAGGACTGAGACTGTTAGTGTTCATGAAACTGCAACAATGTATGACTACACAGTGAACACATTATGCCAAAAGAGGTAACACATTTGGAACAATGGTGAATTGTTTCTAGTTTGACAACCATTGAAAAAGAAGAAACTGATGATGATGAAAAATCAGTTCCTAACCAAAAAACTTACCACTAGCTAATCAAAAGCAGAATTGTCTTACAGTAAAGAATTGTCTCTTTGTATAGATTTCTTTTATAGTAAAGAATAACAGTTCTTGACTAGAATGTTCTTAAGGTTATGGTCATCTCTGTAGGCCACCAGAGAAAGTACAGAGAAAACCGAGCTAGTGACAGAGTGAGCTCAAACAAGGGAGAGGGGCCTGAAGAGAATGTTTTTGGTATGGATGTTGTGAGGTTGGTAAGTAAGTGAGAGGAAAGGCCTGTTGTGATTAGGTTCAGTCTTGGAGGTGAGAGCCCTAGTACAACTGATGGACAGGGAGTGGTGAAAGACAAACGATAAGATGTATTCATGCTGGTCTCAAAGCCAGAAGAAATTCAGCATTTCCAGGGCTTTGGTAGAACTCTTCATTCTCCTGACACAATCTATGAAGGTATAGAAGATAGAAGAACAGAATGGAATTCTTGTAGGAAGAAGGATGCGAGGGTGTATACAGAAGAAAAGCATGTGAATCAGTAGGCTTGTAGTACACAGAAGTGCTGAGGCCTTAAGAGTCCAAGGAGAAGTGAGGTCCTAACAATTCACAGGCAGTGAAATGCTGAAGTGTGTCTGATGCTAAGATGGAAATTGGATTCAATATCAGTGTTCAGACAGAGGCATATCAGAAACACTGATGCAGTCATTGATATGTCTCCTATAGAGCTATGGGAGTCTACACTGTGTACATAGGATGTGATGTTCTAGACAAGCATAGATCAGACTAATCTTGATACCCATATTCAAGATTGATAAACTGACAGCAAACATATATCTGATTCAAGTTAAAGAAATGGGTAATATTCTATTATGGGATTTCCTAACAAACATACTTAATCACATGTACTTGTGAAATATGCTCAGTGGGAAAAAAGTCCCTTAAGTAACAGATGAAGACTTACATAGAGATCACAACTGGCTGTCAATCATCCTTGCAGGGGTCTCCAAAACTGTCTTTCTTTTAGCAATGGCATCCCTAAGTTTCTTTCTGGGCCCAAATGGAAGCCCCAACTCCTTTAATTCGGAGTCTGTCATTGAAGTTAATACCTGCATGTCAATTTTTTCTTGTGAGAAAATATGCAAGTAACTAGCAAGCCCACAAGACCAGAGAAACATGTTGACAGCAGACAATTCACTGTTATCTTGATCATCCTCGTCATCATCATCTAGATTACCCAAGTCATCTTGGTTCCATGGTAGTGACTGCTTTTGTGGACTAGTGATGCCATTTACCAGCTCTGAATCCATAAGCTCATCTATTCCACCTGAGAGACGCTGGCTATCACTGTTGACTTTAGTTTGGGATGAAGGTAGGTAGCTATCATCGAAAGACTGGATTGTGTTTAGGAATGGATTTTTGGGTAGAAAGGCCAATCTGCCAAATTCTGGCCTGTTAAACATTCCTCCTCCGCTGTTGGTATCATCATCCTCTTCTTCATAGTAGGTGTCTGTCCCTGAATCTAATAACTCTGACTCACTTTTGGCTCTGAGAATGAGAAAATTGATAGATTTTAGATGTAAACACATTTATAAAAAATATATTACAAGACATTAATGGGATTATGCTTGATGTGGAATTCTTACTGACTTTGTCCTGTCAGGGCTTCTATCTGAAGGTTTGACACCACAGCAAGTTGGATGTCAACTGAACATGAACAAGTCACACATGCCCTATTCCATCTTTTAAAATAGTTATGATTTGGAAAGAATTGGCTACTTAAACATCCAGATGCAAGCGCTTTTATGTGGAAGACCTGGGTTTGAATCTTTGTTTTATCCATTTTTGTTTCATTAGGTTGCACTGCTTCACTGATTTGATCTGTGCAGACGATGAACAGGTGTAGAGCACATTACTGTCTAATTTGAAACCTTCTTATCATGCACTGACTTTTGCCATTAACAGAATTCTGTTTCCCTGCCATAGCGTGCTAGTAATATTTTGTTCTCGTTTCCTCCCCCCAGCGTTAAAATAAGTACAGACCATTAGTCAATGCATGCCAAGCATTTTGTAAACCTGTTTATAATTGACATCAACAATCAAGTTTTCACTAGTCTATAAACATGTGTCTATAAACATCATTATCCTGATGTGTCATTGTGTGCAAAATTCAGGAAAATCGTTGTTTCAATATTTCTGCGTTATATGTTGAATTTTTGGAAGTTTCAAGTGATTTACAACATTGTGACAAAAAATCTTTTAGCTGCAAGTAGCTGGAAATGAACCAGGAATCTCGGAATTATGAAGTGGCTCCGCAATGCCTAATTTAATATAATTGTGTTTTTGTTGTTGTTGTAAGCCCCACTTTGATTCACATAGTAAAATAAACTGAAATGTATCTGCTGTCAACTAGGGATTGCTGGTGTCTATAGCAGTGAGAAAACAGACCAAATGAGTTCAAAATCACTGCTAACTTAACACTCAAGATAAATAAATGAGATATTTTCAATAGCTGCTTACTGAAGATAAAAACAGACATGCAAATAATTATTGACAAACAAAAGAAAAATTCAGTTTAAGACAACAAGCAAACTCCACATACTTTACCATGTTATCTATACACAATAGTATTGGCATTGATTAAAACACTTTAGAAACGTAACTGACACTGACAGAAAGAATATTATGTTTGCAATAAAATAATGTTGACTAAGCTGAAAGCCCAATCTCACATTACCAGGCAGTTCAACATAGATTGAATGATTACTCTTTATATGGTATATTTTGCTTATGATTGTTCCATTATTCTCTTGTGAATCTATTATACAGACAGACTTATTGCCACTTAACAAGCCTACTACAGAAGCTGATAAATAAAGGGAGAACATGTACAATTCAGAGGAGTGACTGAATGACCACAGTCTGGTGTGAGTGATGCAGCAAGGAGTGACAAGGTGCTATAGCCCATACTCGAAGCTCAAAGGAATGGCAAGTTGGATGTACAATCAGAATGCTACTGGCACCATTGGTACTGGACCTCTGTGCTGGCTGCTAAAGATGAAGATAGGGACAGAGTGCTTAAAGGAATGCCTCGAGGGCTGTGATGTTGGTTCTTGAATCAGCTCAACTCAACTCATAAAGGGTTTGTTAAAAATCAGATGTTTTGTGATGAAAGATGCAGATATTGATTACCTGCTATAAAACACAACATAAACTACAACACAAGGTGCCAAACTTTTAAGCACAAATGCAGAAGAAAAGAAAGAAGAATGACTACTTCACCTCAGTATGCACCATAGCAGTATAGAGTTACAAGTAAAATGGAAGATATTGAAAATCTGTTGCTGAATATGAACAGAGTTCTGTAGTGCTGTATATCTGTGGGCTGTGGGTACCACTCAACACTCAGCAGGAAAGGTAAGATGAGTAGTTAACCAGATGATAACGGGTATCATCAATATGTAGACTCCTTGCTGGCTGTTCTCGACGGAGGCAGAGCTAGTTTGGGCTTACTCTGAATACTGTGATGTCAAATCTTTTTTCAGAGGAATCCAGATCTATTTGGTTAACTAACTAGGGCTTACACACTGCTGTTCTAAAGTAACAGCGGTTAGAGACAGACAATAGGATGCAACAAATGTTTTAGAAGCATTGAAGAAAATGACAAATTAGATTAGGAGACACAGTCACAATGAGTAACTCTCTCTTACCTAAATAAATCTCCTTTCCTTAGGCTCAGCTCCCCTTTCTTTGACCGTTTATCCCCTGCCACATACATTACTTCTGATGTTGACCCCACAAATCCATTACTTATTGACCGAATCGTCCGGTTACCACTGTCATCCAAATCACTGACTTTAAATTCATGTACACCTGCTGAAGATTTAGGTGTCAATGATTCTAATCGTCTCATCTGGATTCTTTTGGCAATTCCGGATTTGTTTCCTAATGAAGTCATTCCTGCAGCATCTGAATACACATGGGACTTATGTCTTTCTGAGCCATCATCCGAATTGCTAATAATGGATACACCCTTCATTCTAAGTGTTAATGATTTGAAGAATCCTTGTTTTGTTTTGGAATCAACATTAGATGTTTCACTTTGCTGGCTTAACTGATGAACAATCTTTGACTCCAGCCTTCTCTGTTCCTTCTCAGCTTTTCTGGCAGCATTTTCAGTTAATTTCTCATACCTCTTGATGTTGTTTTCTACAACTTTCACAGCTTCTTCTTTCAGTCTGGATACTTGTTTTGGATTCTTAGCTAGTTTCTCAGCCAGCTGTGCATCTAGAAATCTGATATTCAGTGAGGGAAAAAAAAGGAACTTTCAATTGTCTGTATGACAGAATTCATTGTACACATAATACACCTTATATACAATTTACCTGTTTCCATGCCTGCAGACACATATGGCATTTTGTATAGGCCATACTTATATAGACCAACAAGCATTCAGTTGTTATACAGTAAATATAACACTTACTTATTACATACCAGAAGATTTCCTAGCTTGTCTTCTGGAGAGAGACATGTTATATACATTTATAATAAATGTGAAACAGATAAATATTCTATGAGCTTTCTAAAAAGACGCTTCCAAACTGGCAGCTAAAAAAACAGATCTATCTTGTCATTCCCCATGAACCTTTTAGTTTACTCCTAGTTAGATGTTTGTTAGTGTAAACACAAATAGGATAAGACAAACAAATGTTGCATTTTATAAAATGAACATCTTATGTAATAAACTGCTGTGGTTGGAGGTTAGAAAAAAAAGAAAGAATTCTAGCATGTTACACAGAGTCAGCTTTAACATATGGCTGCAAATCCTGGACAGGTATTAAACAAGCCAGAACATCAACAACAAAATGCCTTGTGAAGGTATAGATTTAGTTTTACAAAAGAATGCTCATAGTTCATTAGACAGTCCAAATGAGTAATGAAGGAGACCAACACACAAATACAACTAACTGAACACTGCCATCACAAAGAGGTATATGCCATTCATTTATCAATATAAAATGTAACTGAAAAGAAATCTGTGGCATTCTCATCTGAAAACCACTAGAAGAGAAAACAAGAAGAAGAAGATTTGTTTGTTGCATTATCAAAAGATAAAAACTAGAACATGAGACAACTGGAAGATTTAAAGAAAAGATACAGAGAAAAGATTGATGAAAATATTTAGAGGAAAGACTGATTAACATTAAATGTAAAGTAATATTATATAAGAGTAAATATAGCCAGGGAAAACATAACCTTTTCAGTTCCTAAGCAATTGTTAATTTAACTTTTCCTATACCAAGAAATTGTACATTGATTAATAAAGATATAGGTCTCACGGATTAAAGTGAAAAGTTGAAGTCAATAGGATCGACTTAATTACACTAGGTTTTTTTACCATATGTGAAATGATGAGACAACCTTCAGAGTGTGGGGCGAATTGTTTGTCCACTTTGCTATGGAGACCTCCAGAGAATCCAAATAATGTGACCATGAGACAGAAGGTATTAACAATTAGGCACAGTTGGTCAGTTTGACAACTGCATCAAATATAAAGAGTAAAGACATTTTTACAATGAGTTATGAGTTGGATTATCTTCACATCACTCCGGACACATCCATAGGTGCTCAGATTCCCCTCTCAACATATTCATCAATGTCATGTGGTTAATAGTGCCAGACCTATGCTGGTTGACAAGACTTCCTGTGCGTCCAGTGTGCTTCTCATGCTGGGCTGTGAAGATCTTTACTCCAAATTCTCATATCCTTAGCAATGATGAAGACACGCTGCTTCTAAAATCCTCAGAACGTCTTATCTCACTAAGGGCATTGACAATGTCTGCGTGATCCATGACTCAGCCATCTTCAATTAATGTGGCACCTGCTAGTCTATCAGCTCTTTTATTACCAACAACACCTGCATACCCTTGGACAAATATGAAGGTAACTGCACATACAGGAGAGTTTTGCAATGACTCAATTCACTGTCTAAGTACCTAGCTTGCCTCGACTAACTTGTCAAAGATAAGCACGCATACCTCAGCGTTGACAGCAGCAGGATTGTGTGTTCCTGACCTCATATCAAGCATCATGACATAGGAGAATGTGAGATTGGGCGCTTTAGACGCTGGTATCCATTCCTCACCTGGATGGATATCTGTAAGGCTGCAAACCTGCATGATGTCATCCTCTGCCCCACCGAGCCATGATTGCCCTTTTCAAGTCTATTGCTTTTTTTCGTGAAGAGCAAAGGGTGCTTCAGATCTGAGCTTATCTTGAGGTATGCACGAGCCCTCCAGATCTTGATTCTGTAGTTCATGGTAGGGAATGCACATTGCTTTGTTTTGCACCTTCTCAAGTCTTGAGTATGGCTGACAGTGAGGAAGGCTAGAGCATATTCGATGGGAGAAAGTACAAGTCCTTGGAACAGAAGCAGAAGCAGTCTCTGCTCAGTATTAGTGGTGGCCAGGACCCTCATTGCTGACAGGCCTTTGCGTGCTTTTGTTATAACATGGTCAACATGTTCTTTGAAGGATAGGCTGCGATCAAACCTCACTCCGAGGTATGTCATCAGATCTGTTCTCTTAAAAATTTCTTCGCTGCTTACCACGGCTGGTAAGTCTGCCTTCAATATATGCGTTTTTCTCCCATATGTGAAATGATCAAACAACATTCAGAGTGTGGGGCAAATTGCTCACCCACTTTTCTATTGAGACCTCCAGAGAGTTGTATGTAACTAGGAATCAAGAAAGGCACTGTCAGTTTCTCTTCTCTGATTTAGTTTTTACAAATGAATAAGTTGGTTATTTTCTGATTTAATCATTTCTTATTCTGCCTCTCCTAAACTATTCATAGACATTTCATTTCCCTTGTTACGCTTCCTATTTTTACCCTTACCATCAATGTCTATACTTTGTGCTGCTAACAGAATGAGGAAGAAAAGTGTTCAAAAATACTCTGGTATTGTACAACCAGGGCAAGACAGAGAGTATAAGAGATCCACTGAGGATAGTTTTAATTCTGGAGGGAACAGGGATCCATGTGGCAGATTAGTGAAGCCATTTGTGTCATATAATTTAGTTAACGAGTGAATGTTTATGAAGATACCAGAGTTGATACCCTCAGTAGTTACATTAAAGTCGTCCCCATGTGGAATGCAATTTTTTTTTTTTTTGGAAGCCCTACTCTGGCTTCTGCCGGGGGCCCTGAATAAAGCCGGGGCATAGATATGGCCTAGCCATAGGTATGGCCTAGCAGCTGAAAGGGGTTTCTGGGACCTCTCTATATGTAATCCTCATCTGCATGGTGGCACTTTGTGTCACCAGGTGTTTATTGCTTGTGTGATGTCCTGGTGGGGTACAACTACCAACCGACCAACCAACCCTTGGTAGGTGGCTAGCCGTTATGCAGACAAAAAGATCTACCCATATGGGATAAAACCCTGTGCAATGAGGTCAATTAAATTTTAATTCTGGAAAAGGTGCCTGATAGATTGATCACCATCTATTTAAACAAAAGTGACCAAAACACAGATTGTGCAATTTATTCTGTTGTATATTGTGCATGCAAACAGACATAGTTGTGAACCTGCAGTTGTTCTGATAAAGCAGGCAGCTATTTTGAGTGTGGCTGATTCTTATTTCAGTTACAGGGATTAATTTATTTGCTTCATTGTATCTAACTGTTATTGTAGTATACACTTGAGGAGATATAGTGAAATATGCCATTGTGCAATCTTTTTATTTTGTTTATCTTCTTTATTCATATTTCCAATGGGGAAACAGTTCCATCACTGTTCATTTGTGTATCACTTACCTTACAATTTCATGGCGCTCGTATAAGGCAGCCAGATCCAAGGCTGAGTGATAGTCATTGTCCAGGGCATAGACATTACAACCCCAGTGGACTAGATAACTGACCACGCCAATGTGACCTCTCAGAGCGGCATGGTGTAAGGCGGTCATTCCTTGGTAGTCGGCTTTATTCACATCTCCT